TACTTAAATCTTGGACAAGGCCGGGCTCGGTGGCTCAGCCTGTAATCCCACCCTTTGGGAGGCCGAGGTGAGTGGACTGCCTGAGCCCATGGGTTCGAGACCCGCCTGGGCAACTTGGCAAGACCTCATCTCTACAATAAATCAAAAATCAGCCGGGTGTGGTAGCGCGCGCCTGTAATTCCAGCTACGCAGAAGGCTGAGGCAAAGGATCACCGGAGCCCAGCGGGTTGAGGCGGCGGTGGCCGGGAGCGGCCACTGCACTCCAGTCTGGGTGACAGAGTGAAATTCCAACTCAAAAATAAATAAATCTTGGACAAGAAGCTATGCCCCTCAACCCCCGAGACACATCAGTAGCATGGGAAATGGGATAATAATTCCTACCTGTCTTGATTACTGTGAGGTGTAAAGAGATGTACAGTAAATGCCAGTCACATGTTAGGAACACATTTGTTTTTTTTAACTAAAAAATAGAGATGAGATCTCACTTTGTTGCCCAGGCAGTCATCCTGCCTCAGCCTTTCAAAGTACTGGGATACAGGTGTGAGTCACTGTGCCCAGTGAAGAACACGGTAATGTTCATTTCCTCTTTTTCCTCCACAACCCTTTAAGATATTTACTGGACAGTAAACAACCAGAAACGATTCCCCCATGTATTAAATCCCAATTATGCCAAAATTCCTCAGGTTAAAATGGATACCAACTGAAAAAGGACTCTTGCAATTAAATACAGTATGGTATATGTTTATAATCAAATATATCATCAGAAGTGTCCACTGTTGACCCACTCAATCATATTAGGTTAAATCAGAGGAAACTGCTGACTTCTGACTGTTTTATATTTACAATAGCAATTTCATATGGTTGCAAACAACAAATCTAGAACAAGGATTTGGTATCTGCCGGCCCACCCTCGATTTCCTGAAAACAGCAAGATCATTAGAAATAAGTAACTGCATTTTTATTCCAGTTCTGCCATTTAGTAGCTGTGTAACTTTAAGAAAATCATTTAGCAATCTTGGGCCCTGATTTCCTGGTTTCTATAATAAATATGGCTGATCTGTCTTTTTCCAGTTCATAATGTAATGACCATAATGAGGCACGGGATAAAGAATGATCTAATGGACATTGGAGACTCAGAAGGGGGCCAGGGAGGGGAGATAGAGAAGTGGGGGACAAAAAAAATCACCTATTGGGTACAAGGTACACAGGTGGGGGTAGTGAGTACACTTAAAGCCCAGACTTCTTTGCCACTATACCATGCAACCGTGTAACCAAAAACTATTTGTACCCCCTAAAACTCTGAAAGAAAGAAAAAATAAGGCACAGGCACTTAGTTTAGTGCAACCAACACACGCAGCCGATGAGAGAACATTTTTAACTTAACTACACAAGCTCTCCTCCTCGTTGCCCCTTCTGCTACTATTCTGCCCCCTCTTCTGAAGCACAGAAGGTATGGATACCTTGATGATAATAACACAAAGCTGTGCAAACTTCTTCACGGCTCCTTAAAATGCACTTCTAATTTGGCACACCCTACCACAGCAGTACTGGATTTCTCCTTAAACAAAAATGGTCACGGGTGTCAAAGAGATGTGAGTGAGTGGCCAATGAACTGTGTCTAAATGATTTTCCTTGTGACCAAAACCAGCCTGGGATAAACCCCTGCTAGCGAGAAGGGAGAACATGCTTCCCAGGCCGAGGAGGCATTGTTCAAAGTAATGAGTTCTGCACCACTTGGTCCACAATTCACAGCTGAGGCTGATTTTCCTAGACAAAGAACAATAACCAAATGGAGGCATCCTTCTCTGAGTTTATCATTGTTTTGACTCTCGAGGTGGTGGAGTCCTCCTACCTTCCTATGTCCTAGGAATGGTCAGAGGAAATGTTTGCCAACCATGGTCAATAATATTATGCCAGAGGTCTGTCATGGCTGTAATGGACTTCACTATCATCTTAACTCACTAAAAATGCCTGGAAATTATTCCAGCTCGGAAGTTAAAAGGTTGATATGCCTACTGTGTTCTTTTTATCCTTCTCTCATAATTTTATATCCTCCCCCATTCTTTTTGCTCAGAGAAATAGTAGTTATGATCCTTCAAGCATGCAGGCCAATACTATTCTTAGAAGGGAGCTGCAGGCAGATTCATTATGTCATGAAACACAGAGTAAGAACAAAGGACCACTGAATCACTCACCTTATCTTCATCTAAGGAAACTGAGAATGACTGGGTTTCTGCTTCTCCTAAACTCATTGCTGTGCTTGACAAGACCACAAGTTTTAGGGTAGAATTTGCACTACAAAAACTTAAGTAGATGGGTGCATACAATGCTTCCTGCCATATATATACATACATATATCTAAATTGCTCAAAAACTATGTTTACTTTCTTTTTAATTCAAAGTTTACACATTTCTTTCTGAATCTGAAAGACTGATTATCTGCACCAAATCACTTGTTCTCTCAAAGAGTACCAAAAGTAGTATATCTTTACCCTGAAAACCTGAAGTAGTGTTAGAATTATTTCAGAACTCACAACTCTTAGTTCACTGAGGGCAGAAATCTAGCTGTATTCATCTTGCCTTACATATAAGTTCTCAATAAATATTTGTTGACAAAATGAATAAATTAAGTAGAAAACATTTCATTAAGAATTTTCACAGTATTTTACATTACGGCACCCTACCATGAAGCTCCTTTATCATACTCTATTTTTACAATTCTATACCTATAATTATTTAAAAGACTGGTTTTTAAGAGAAATTTAATTGAAGTCGATGGTGTGGGAAAACCTATCCAACAGAAGTAATGACTTGAACAGATTTACTTACGAATCTGGTGCAACTATAAATCCTGGCTCTGCCCATCAACCTTCCCTCCCTTTGTCTCATTGCCACAGCCTCTCCCCAGCCTCCCCCAAGCATTCCCAGTCTCATTATCCCATGATCTGCTAAAACTGCAGTTTACCTCCTGGAACCAGCAGAAACACATGTCACTGAGAATTAGGGAATTGGAGCTGGTTACAAGCCATCAAATAGGGTCACAAAGTATCTGAACCTGAAAATTAAGAGGTTTTCTATTTTTTTAATGTGAGAAAGGGTGAAAACTCAATTGGACCTTTTTTTTTTAACATTCAAGCTAGATGTACACAGTGTCGAGACATTTATGACTAATGGGATGGGAGAGAACTTTTACAGCTTGTCATTTGCTAATCATTTGAAAAGTAATCTGTTGAGTTCATTTGCTGATGGTGGAAGGTATTATCTTTAAGTCTACCACAAATAAACACTTGCTATTCTTGAAAGCAAATTATTTGAAAGCAGGAAGACAGTATCCACATATAACCTCATCAGAGGTACTTTATGCCACACTTTATCCCAGAAAGAGTAACTCCATTTTAAACTTTTATTAGCAGTCACGTTAATTCTAACCGAGGTTTATTTAATAGCAACTAGGCAGCAATCATGCTGTCAAATATTGACGCAGTCTAAGAAAAATAAGCAGCAAGAACGTATAGCTTCTTCTACATACCCCTTAAGGTGTGTACTTTTGCCAAATGCTAGTCTGTGCTTAAACAAATGAAATTGAAAAGAGGGAATGAGGCTGTCAAGTCTCACAATTTAAAAAAAAATTAAAACGACTCTCAGCAGACGGCTTGAGAAAAAAACTAAGTGGTTTGTGTGAGGGCTTCTTGGAACATTATCTGCAGAAGCGCTTAACCCCAGAAGTGACCAAAACGCAGGGGCAACTGGAAAAACAACTGCCTCTTCTGGGAAAGCCTGATTTCTTTTCATGGGCATCTAACTTCGGTCCCTTCTGAAGCGCATTTTGCCGTCATCAGCATGCTATGAAGAAGACACGGGCGCTGTGGGTGGTGGCACGCCCCGCTCCCCACCTGCGGGGAGGGAGACGCAGCTATGTCCTCTAACACTCCAGCAATCACCTGATCCTTTTTTTTTTTTTTAGCTCCTCACCAGGAAGTCAATGTTTTATCCGTCTCCATTTTAAGGGGGAGGGAGGAGGGAAAGGAGGGGAATTTCAATTGCTGCCCTAAGGAGCGATTCTCACCACTTTCTTCCGTCTGTGAGCAAAATGGAAACGAGGGGGAAAGTTTTGTTTTTGTAGTTTTCGTTGGTTATTGCTTTGATGCTGACCTCCTAACATCACAACGGAATTATAAGAGAATTTCGAGTTACAAACAAATAGAAAACGTCCCGGGGAGGAGCGGGGGAGCAGGCGCCGCAGACGCGCAACAGGGGACAGGGCTGGTGGGCGCGCGGGGCGGC